CCCCAAAACCCCAAAACCCCAAAACCCCAAAACCCCTTGGGCTATAGAAGATATTGAGGTAATATTAATTAAAATATGGACCAAAATACTTATGCCATTCAAGATCATGAAGAAGAAGCAAAAATTGAAGAAGATACCTTCAGAGCATTAATGGCACGAATGGGAAGGTCATTCGCATATGATCTCAAATACTACAATTATTACTTAAGTTTCTTTAGTGGAATTGAGTATAATAAAGAAAATAGAGATCGATGGAAGAAAGAATTCAAATTTTTTAATAAACTTAAGACAAAAACTCTTGAATTTGCATATATTGGTATCAGAGATAGACCTTATCAGGCCTGAAAAAGTCTCAGCCGACTCCTAGACAATGGAGGTCAAAGAATCAATCAAGGTAAGAAAACAGTTAATTTCTAGAAATGAATATTTGTATATCTAATAAGAGCCAAGAGTTGAAAAGTTTAGGGACAACTCTGTCGTCTCTAAAATTTAAAAGCATTTTTAGTCAGGGTTTTACAGTCAAAATACATTTTCAATATTGAACCTTTACAAGAAAGCAGTTTCAGGACCTGTTTAAAAATGCTAGGAACTCCCAGGTCATTGGCTTCTCAAGTAAATGCTTATTTTAATATCTATAGACTGAAATTTTAGGTAAAATTGCTGAAAACTATTATGTAGATTCTACAAGATCCAATTAAACCCTAAAATTGAATTCAAAATCGAGCAGATTAATTTTTGTGAGTGTAATCATTTAAACCTTGGGAAGAGCCAACAGAAGGGGTCTAAAAGATCCCAGCCAGCCAAAGACTCGAAGTCCTTAAAGATAGAATATATTTTTATGATGATATTTTCTTGCAGACTAAAGCATTCTCTGACCCTTCTAGACGGCTCTAGTCACATGATCAACCTTGATCATGCAAGGAAGCTCCTTCATAAATACTGTACGAAAAAGTGTAAGAAACTGGCAGCTGGAGGATTTGACAAAAAGATGAGGTCTCTCTTTCAGATAAATTACTAAATCTCCAACCAAGGATCTCCACCTGGGGTTTTGGGGTTTTGGGGTTTTGGGGTTTTGGGG